CCACCCCGAGAAACCAATCGTCCAACCTTGAGGGTTCGGGACGCGGTGGAAGATTCCACTCGAGCCCGACACTCTTGGCGGCCCGGGAAAGCATAGCCATCATTTCCGGATCCGAATCCGGCACGGCTGGCCGTCCAGGGGGCGGCAGCGCTGACGGATCTTCCTCGCACAGGAAAATTCTGGCTCAACCTCCGATGCAGCGATCGACATCCGATCGTCGGGGGGAACCTGGCAAGGTACAGGTGATACCCTTTTTGAGGGTCCAGTCTGCTGGACAGCCCCACTGGTTTCGGAGTGCCGGCGGACAGAGGAGCCCTCGGAGGGGAATTCCTCACTGTTACTGTAAGACCAGTCCGGCCAGTGACAGAAGTAGGGCGCCCCCGGTTGCCGCCAGAGGGAACCCTAGATCTAGGCAGTGGCACGGGCACTCCGCCCCTTTGCAGGAAACGGAGTCTGGTCCGCAGCTCCGAGACGGTCATACTCCCGCAATGGGAGCATGACTCCTCCACGAAAGCCGCCTCAGCGTGCTTAATGCCCAGAAACGAGAGGCAGCAATCGTGACCATCACCCGGCGCCAGGTAACGACCGCATCCAAAAACGCACAGATGGAAAGGCATCTTTAAAAAGACGCGTCTTTAAAAAGACGTTCCACCCGTGGAGCTCTTTTAGAAATGCTCTTTTAGTGTGCTGAAGCGGACAGGGGAGATGGCCGCCTGCAACACACACAGGGGGTAGTGCAGCCTGATGTGTGCAACCCACACGACACGGGAAAACCACCGCCGCTGAAGTGCCGTACCGCCAGCATGAGAGCCCTCGAAGAGCGTGCTTGAACTCGAACTGTAGATTCACTCGGTAAGCAGAAGGTCAGGAGCAGAACGATAGAACCATTCGGCTCCGAAGCGAAAAGCTGAATATGCGCTGCATCTGCTGCCTACTTATACTCACGCTGTGTATGTAAGTGAATGACTTTGTAGGAAGTGAAGGGGACTGCTGATTTCTTAATTATACTTCTTCCAGTGGCCTTGGAGACACAAAGAGCTAAACTGCCCTCATTGCCAGTAAATTACACCGGAAAAGCCTGCACCCAAAGGTCATTTGGTACTGATGCTTCAGAATGTGAACACACTGTGTGATGCACTGAAAACAGAGATGAATATGATATTCTTTTTTTCTCCAGAAGATGCTGTTTCTTGACACTTCAACTGTACTACGAGGTTGACATTATATAATAGACAATCAATCTATCTATCTATCTATCTATCTATCTATCTATCATCTATCTATCTATCTATCTATCTATCTATCTATCTATCTATCTATCTATCTATCACACAGTTATTTAACATTATTTAATAGTTCTGAAATATTTCAATAATTATTTAACATTAAACAGCATTTTTGTTATTGTTAACATGTAACAATGAACTAACAAAGAGCAGTGCTTTTTAACTAATGTTAACCAACAGTAATAATTACTGTAACAAACGTATTGCTCGTTGTTAATGTTAGTAAGCTGTAAAGAGAGAGAGAGAGAGAGAGAGAGAGAGAGAGAGCATATCACGTTTATTTTTTAATTATAACAAAATAATGTCTTACAACGTAAACTCTGTAATAAGGAATGCTAACATATTAAAAAAATGATATGATTAGTAAGTCACGGCAACTTGTGTCTTAACTTTAAATCACCAAATGAAGTTGAGCACCCCCCCCCCTGATTTCCTAGTCTAGTTTTTTTTTTTTATATATAAATTTACAATTGAAATTACTTGTACAACAAAGTTGATTATACTTAACAATTTAAGGCAGCAACTTAAGTTTTTAAGATGAGTGTGTTGTTGAATCCCATAGCAGAGGGAAAAAGCTTTCTTAATCCAAACGTTTTTAGTAGTTCACACACTGGACACAAGAGCTATCTTGTTCTAACAGCACTGCACACTTTCCATTGGATGATCCCTGACAAAATTATTCAGAGACCTCAAAAAAATAGCCTGCACATAGTCAATTCAAAACAAACAAACAAACAAAATAATAATAATAAACAAACACCCATTTTGTCATCTTTTATTCACTCTGATTTAGCGCGTCAGCTACTCAGATTTAAGCAAAATTGCAAAATCCCCAAAACATGGAAAGTTTTTGCAACTATGAAAACCAAACTACTGGGTACTTGGTTTTTGTGAAAGCTCATCCAATTACAAGAAGGCCAGGAGTTTTAATTACTGTCATGGAGGTCAAATGTTTGTAAGGTGTTCAATGTCAGATCTGTTGACAGAGCAAGCGGGGTAGCTGTGTAAAGAATCATTTCAAGTCCGCAGTACTCTGTGCTTTGAACAAGACACACAAATGCATTTTTAATTAATTAAGGTAAAGTTAGGGACTTAAAAGTCAAGGTAATTATTTGTCCTATGCTATTCCCTTTAATCATGAAAACACATTTGTGTTGCCAGCACCACTGACAGGATCTTGTCAAATTGACTATAAAAACAAAGCATCTACACATGCTAATAAATTACATAAATTGTGTTTTGAAAAGTGAGTAGACAGTAGCAATTTGTATAAAAATGCATATTCATATGGGCTCAAATGTAGCTTGCCTTGCATGACACTGAGAGAATGAATCATGGCCCATTTTGGAAATGGACTTTATTTATAGCTTTTAAAGTCTCGTGATTTATTTTATTTTTTTCTCTCCAAAAGCCCATGCACTTTCTCTCATCTCTCCGTCAGAGCAAGATTAGCTTAATACATAATTTCTCAGAATTGCATTAAAAGTAATACTCAATAACCAGTCATACAATTAATTGTTTATAAGGGCGACACAGCTGTCCCTGGAAGCCTTAAGAGCCGTCTTTCATTATTCAGTCTCCGGCAGTGAACAATATAAGAGTATATTCAGCTGCAAGCCATAAAATGATGTTTATGTAACAGCATTTATAAGATTAAGCATTGAATTTGAAACTTTACTGTATATTTGCATTGAAGAATTTTGTTCATTAGTGTAATTTAAATAATTTTCTGTATCACATCAGCTAGAAATATCTGGCAGTAAACGAGTATCACATATTGCCACAGCTAACCCACAGGCTACTGGGTAAAAGAATAAATATGCACACTTAAAAAAGCTTTGGTTGACTTACAGCTATTACTATCCTAGTGTAGCTCTTGGGGCAAGGCAAACTGCCAAAGCACACTCGCCCTATGAGGTGGCACACGGTTAAAAAAACAAACAAGTAGCGCACAGCAACGTTCACCACCTCCTACTAAGTGCACCACAAAAACTGTGCACGTTCCAGATATTGTACAAGGGGCATTACGCGCAATGGACATTATGCCTTTTTATGATAAATAGCCGCTCTTAAAGTACACTAGTTTACCAGAGGATTAAAAAACGCCTTTTGTCTGTGCATGGATATTCAAATTAAGGCAGATTAGTGTTATTGTGAACACATTTACACTACATGCTGCGTGTTCTTTCAAATGATCGTAACTTAATGATTGGCATACAGAGCAACACATGATGGGAAGTGTTGTCAATGATTGTTTGTACAGATGAGTGTCCAACAGAGATCCATTTATGTGTTATTCATGTATAGCTGATGATTTTTCTCTCCAAAAAATGTTGAATTATATGTAAGTCCATTCTGCTGAAAGTGTTCTCACTGATTGCACCTGCATTTCCAAGCAATCGCAATGTTTCAGGCTATTTTTACCTGGTCAATACATGATAACAAATATAACTCTCAGCATCATCAAAGATGAGCCTTATCAACAAAGATGAGACTCTGACAGTCATTTTGTTCTCAAAGCGACAAAAGAAGAAAATAACTGTTCTATGAACCATTACAGGAAGTTAAACCATTTAGTGTGACATTTTTATTCTGCTCCAAATGTGTGCAAAACATATCAAAGTGTTTTGTTATATAACAGCAGCTTAAAACATAGACAATAAAATAATATACATCTGTAGATGGCTTATTTCTGCAGTAAGAAAAGTGTAAACATATCAAAGTTGGCTTGATTGTGCAAATCAATGTGACACACAATGTGACAAAGGTTTCGAATTGTGTTTTCATTGAACACAGTCTCAAGGATTGCTGGAATCTTCCACATGCACATTAGCAGGATATCATCTCCTCTTTTGAAACCGCAGAGACACAGTAGTTTGCTCACTGTTCCAATTCCAAGGTCAGTATATACAATCGAACAAACAACAACCCCTGACCATTCAGTCTATAGCATTCAGGAAGAAAATGCATGCATGCTCCACAGAAAATATGTCAATGCAAAAACATCACGAAACACCACAGCCATTCTTAAGAACACTGAAAATTTAACCGCATGACCTAGGGGTGATACAATACATAACATACAATACAATGGCCTTACAAAAAAACTCTTCAGAAACAAGCAAATTTCCACTCAAGTTCCTCTGAGGTGAACTGGACATGACCGAGTGTGAAGGCTAGCTCGTTGTATGCAGGCTGGAGCAGCTCTGGTATCTGAACAGCAAGGCACTAAACAGTAAAAAAAATAAATGCATACATACATACATACATACATACATACATACATACATACAGTACATACATAAATAATAAAAAAGGGCCACAAGAGAGGAAATAACACAAAGCTGCAAGTGGTTTCAGCTAAAGAAAAAAGAAAAAGAAAAAGAAAAAAAAAAAAGGATGCCAGCACTACAGGTTTGTGAGTAAAAAGTGAGAAGACTGCTAATGTTTCTTTGCCTTCCCACACACAGATTGATTGACCCGGACCACCAAGGAAACCCGACAACCTCCTCGCCTGATCAACTGAGACAATTCTCACTGATATCTTAAAACTGCAGGCCTAAACAAGGCCACAACCATGCATATTTTGACATGCACGAGTATTTTCCCCCACCCTGATTCCCTCTTTAATTAAATAGTTCTCTCATTGAATGGTTTCATGCCTAAATTCATCCTTTAGATAAAAGAAAACCTGCAAACATGTAGCATAATTTTTAAATCATTATTTAGTTTTAGTTAAAGAAACAAAAAAAATGCTCATATTTTAGTTTGAGGACTAATTCTCGCTATTAACTAACTACTAACTATGATGTTTGCCTCAGTAAACTCCTAATCTGCTGCTTATTAATAGTTAGTAAGGTAGGTGTTAGGTTTAGGATTAAGGGATCTAAAATATGGTCATGCAGAATAAGGCATTAATTAAGGTATGTGCTATAAGTACTTATAAACAGCCACTATGCTAGTAATATGCATGCTAATAAACAAGCAGTTGATAGTGAGAATTGGTCCCTAAATTAAAGTGTTACCAAAAATACCATTTACTCCATTTTTCCCCAGTGAAAGAAAGAAATCAACAACATTTTCGCTGGAACTTACTTGCTGGAACATACAGACTGAAGTAGACCTGTTGAGTTAAAATTTCACCTATATGTAGTCACCTCCAAGCTTCTAACAAAAAGTGCTGCAATAAAGGAAACTCCAAACTGCTGAGAAAAAGAAGTTATTCAGAAACATCAGTTTGGAAAAGGTTTCAACGCCTTTTTGGATTAAACAAGGCAACAACCATGCTGGACCATTCTCATCCATCCCTCTGCTGCCACTGATGAAGGTCTACTTTGAGTCATTTGGAGCAAATCGCTAAGGCCACTATAATAGCATCATGAATATATATTGGTTGCAAACTTTGCAAAACTAAATTGACACTAACCATGAGAAATGTTGCTGTTCAAAGCCTAACACATATGAACCAATACACACATAGTATGCTCTTGATGTACAGTGTTAAAACTGGTTCGCTAACTATCTGAACATGTCCTGCATCTTGGCAGGGACTATACATGGCAGGTGAAGAGGTGGGATCCGTGACCATTCGAGCCCATCTGCTTGATGGTGCAACCATTGTCAAATGAATTTCAAGAAAATTTGCTCTCAGCTCACCCTACATGACTTTGTCTTCTCATCTGAGTGCCTGCTCATGGTTGAGATTGGGGAACAATCAGAAGAAAACTATAATCAGAGATCAGTTCAGAGACCCCTAACCACTCGTTCTGGTGGTTGATGGATGTAATTGTCTATCCACATCAAGACTTTGCAACAGCCTAGAAGGATGATGTAATCGTCTGTTATGAGAGCATCCGATATGAGTTCAGAAGGTGCAAGAAGAATTGCCTGAAGAAGCGACATCCAGGGTTATAAGAAACATGTTACCTGGGCTTCCAGATCAGATGTAGCATAATAAAGCTGCAGGAAGACGGTGGAAGCGGTCAAGTCTTTTTCCAGACCCACTGCAAATAGGCAGGTACATGCTATCGAGAGGTTTGCAGGTTATTACAGGTGCTCCATGCCCCTTAATTTCTCTCCTGTACTCTCTAACCTGACAAGGAAAGAGCAGTCAAGAAAAATAGTTGAGCCTGAGAAAGTGGAAGCTCTCATTACAGAGCCATTTTTGCATATTGAAAGTATGACATTGCCTACCTGGGATGACATCTCACCCTGGTCACACTGCAGCAGAAGACAAGGGCTAAAAGATAAGATGGTACCACAGAAAAAAAGAGTAAGGCCTCACAACAGGGTTCAATGTGTGAACATGAATGTAAATGCACAATATTTATAAAATCTAAAAACAATATTTAATCTAGATACTCTAAAAGCCATTCACACCAAGAATGATAACTATCAAAAAAATAACTATAATGATATTACATTAGCATCCGCACCAGCATATGCTAACCTTCTGTTAATCAGTGTGAGCTGTAGTTTTGTCATCTGTCGCTTTAAATGCTTCAGGTCTGATCCTGACTAGCTGTTAGTTTTCTGTTATAATTTCAGTTTTAGTTAATTTAGTAAGTCAAATTAAACTACCTTAAAATCTTGACTTGGCTTATGACATATATATGTATACATACACACACACACACACACACACACACACACTCACACATATACAGTCAGCTAGTTGCCAAGTCAAAGACTGAATTAGCCTTAAATGTTTACAATACAATTGAAACATTTGATGAAATGTATAATATATGAATATACTATTGTTTAATAGTTAAACATGGATTTGTTCATTATATTAACTTATGTTGGTTTATACAAATTGAAAGATTCAACATTTATATGCAGAAATTACCATTAAGCAAATAATAAAATACTGTGGGAAAAAAAAAAGAAAAGTTAGTTCAGGTTAGCTATTGCATTGCAGACAGAGCCTTATTTTAAAGATGTTTAACAGACAAAAGTCATACAAATCTGGAATTTTAGATTTGTGCTATTTCATTTTTAGCCCACTAGCATCAGTGCTAACACCATTAAAAAGGCATAGAGTATATATGCTGCAACACACAACAAAACAAAAACCACATGGGTGACAGGTAGGAGAACAAGGCACAGCTGAAAGTGATATCGACCCTTAAGCACAGAATACAAAAGAAAATATGACATAGTCCAGTAACATGCCGAGAAAGCTGCTAATGTTTCCCTTTTCCCACAGTGACAGTTTCCTTTTTTAATCCTGTGGCCTTTTGACTGCTCTAAGATCCTTGTTTTCAGACTGTTTTGCCTTTGCTTTCTCACAAACAGACACAGAACTGTCTATAAAGACTAATCCAAATGACTAATCCAAATAAAGATTTGGATAACTAAGTGAAACCAATTAAACATTAGCTGACATTAGCTCATTTCAATAACCTCCTAATATTGCATTTTAGAATGGCAATTATGCAATCATATTTGCTCAACAGGATATTGCAAGAGATAAGATGAAGGTGTGGTTGCTATTATTACTGACTAGCATCACAATGTCTCTATTGTAGAAAGATATATTATTTGAGAACACTGCTGCCAGACTCTAGCTTACATGTTTTTTTATGGACAAAAGTGTGGCATTTAAATTCAAATTACAGGAATTTTAAAACCCCCCCAAAAAAAATTTAAAAAGTACTGTCGAATAAGATCTGAGTCCAAAAATTGGCTGAAATGCCTTGTTCTTTGATCCTTGGATACACTCAAAGGATTCCTTGATACCACAGACAAGGGTTTCTGTCGATGATACTCAAGAGTATCATGAACCTTTCCCTGCAAAGAG